AGTCTACAGTCATTCGTTTCATTCACTATTAGAGTCTAATATCATGTGTTTCATTCACTATTATAATCTACTGTTTCCTTCACTATTAATGTCTACAGTCATTCGTTTCATTCACTATTGGAGTCTACAGTCATTCGTTCCATTCACTATAAGAGTCTACTATCATGTGTTTCATTTACTATTAGAGTCTACTGTTTTCTTCACTATTAATGTCTACAGTCATTCGTTTCATTTACTATTAGAGTCTACTGTTTCCTTCACTATAAGAGTCTACAGTCATTCGTTTCATCTACTATTAGAGTATACTGTTTCCTTCACTATTAATGTCTACAGTCATTCGTTTCATTTACTATTAGAGTCTACTGTCATGTGTTTTTCATTTACTATTAGAGTCTACTGTTTCCTTCACTATTAGAGTCTACAGTCGTTCGTTCCTTTCACTATTAAAGTTTACTACCATGCGTTTCATTTCCTATTAGAGTCTACTCTTTCCTTCACTATTAATGTCTACAGTCATTCGTTTCATTTACTATTATAGTCTACTGTTTCCTTCACTATTAGAGTCTACAGTCATTCGTTTCTTTCACTATTAGAGTCTTCTACCATGCGTTTCCTTCACTATTAGAGTCTTTTGTTTCCTTCACTATTAGAGTCTACAGTCATCCGTTTCATTTACTATTAGAGTCTACTGTTTCCTTCACTATTAATGTATACAGTCAGTCGTTTCATTTACTATTAGAGTCTACTGTTTCCTTCACTATCAATGTCTACAGTCATTCGTCTCATTTACTATTAGAGTCTACTCTTTCCTTCACTATTAATGTGTACAGTCATTCGTTTCATTTCCTATTAGAGTCTACTGTTTCCTTCATTATTAATGTCTACAGTCATTCGTTTCTTTCACTATTAGAGTCTACAGTTAAAGGTCACATGCAACGTTAAACACAACTTTGCAGATTCTGATACCTTTCGGTATGGACTTACAGAAACAAAGCGTCAAAAATGCAAATTCAACTTATAAATTGAAAAATAACGAGATGAAAAAAAACGCGCGAAATCGGAGTTCAAACGTTTCACTAATTTTCCCCAGACTTTTCTGGGGAATACGGGTTTCAACAGCTGGGCTGCGCTCATAGCACGTGCGCAGTGAAATAGGTTCGCGCAACTTGGAAGCGGGCTGTCTGGTGAATACTCGGTGAAGGCTTTGGTGTGAGCTATTTTCATAATGTTTTGTTGATATCTCACAGGCGCGAGCTTTTTATATGTTATGACAGTAAATAAACTGTTTATATAATTTCATTTGTCTATTTCACCACACGTTCTTCTTACCGAGTCACTTTCTCTGTTCGATACTTAAAAGCAATGTCATTATTTAGCGTTGACACAATTTCTAACTGTGATATAGATATGTCGCTGTCACAGACAAAACTCAATGTCTTGTTTTATTGACACCTGTGTGTCTGCCTGCCTGTCTGCTAATGACAATATTCAATACACAACTGCGATCACTGACCACATGCAATTTGAACTTAACACCAATCAGGCTATACACCATAAACAAAACGCATTGATTTATGGCCCGAGTTCGGTCTCTGTCACATTATGTAATTACACAGACAGGCAGGTGTGATACTTGAACACATGACATGTTATGATGTCTGTTGATTGCAAAATGTTATACACAAAAAATGAGCATGTATTTACAAAACCCAACATCTCTATATATACACACACAATGAGCCGTGAAGGCGGCATCTGCTAATGAACCAGCCGTTACACTTGAGTGCACATCCACCCGCTCTGACTGGGTTCGGTATCCCGGCTGCTTCGTTTCGAGGGCGGTAAACCCAAGTACAAAATATTGCACTTTTGATTTGCGATTATACGCTTATAATTTTGTTTATTTGTTTTTTCATAATCAGCAATGCATATTATATGTCATGAAGAAGTGATAATTGTGTTTTAATTATGTTTGATTTTTTGGTTGCATGTGACCTTTAAGTGTTTCATTTACTATTAGAGTCTACTGCTTCCTTCACTATTAGAGTCTACAGTCATTTGTTTCATTTCCTGTTAGAGTCTACTGTTTCCTTCACTATTAAATTCTACAGTCATTCGTTTCTTTCACTATTAGAGTATACAGTTATGTGTTTCATTTCCTATTAGAGTATACTGTCTCCTTCACTATTAGAGTCTTCAGTCATTCGTTTCATTTACTATTAGAGTCTACGGTTTCCTTCACTATTAGAGTCTACTGTTTCCTTCACTATTAATTTCTACAGTCATTCGTTTCTTTCACTATTAGAGTATACAGTTATGTGTTTCATTTGCTATTAGAATCTACTGTTTCCTTCACTATTAGAGTCTACAGTTATTCGTTTCATTTCCTATTAGAGTCGACTGTTTCCTTCACTATTAATGTCTACAGTCATTCGTTTCGTTCACTATTAGAGTCTACTACCATGTGTTTCTTTCACTATTAGAGTGTACAGTCATTCGTTTCATTTACTATTAGAGTCGACTGTTTCCTTCACTATTAATGTCTACAGTTATTCGTTTAATTTCCTATTAGAGTCTACTGTTTCCTTCACTATTTGAGTCTACAATCATTCGTTTCATTTACTATTAGAGTCCACTGTTTCCTTCACTATTAGAGTCTACTGTTTCCTTCACTATTAATGTCTACAGTCATTCGTTTCTTTCACTATTAGAGTATACAGTTATGTGTTTCTTTCACTATTAGAGTCTACTGTTTCCTTCACTGTTAGAGTTATGTGTTCAACTAATTGTTGCACATTACTGTGTTTGACCGACTGTTGTACTTAACTGCCTTGCGTTCAGTTTGCTTTACTATTACGCGTTGCAGTTAGTTCACTGTTATATGTTGCACTTTGTTACACTTTACTATTATGCGTTGGATATTTCAGAGGTCGTTGCACATGAGTCATAATTTGCGCGTAAGGACGTGTCTTAGGTTATCGGTGGCAATCTATGCGTAGGTATCCCCTTATAATTATACAAATAACTATAATGACAATTCTTTGCCTTTTTGAATTTCGTATGGTTTTAGCCGCACTCAACACTTTTTTTCACCCCAGTCAAGTCAACCTGTAAACAATTACGAAAAAAACGAGCCGCAAGCGAGCGTTGCATCCGATCAAACCTAGTCCCATCTGAAGACAAGCAACAACTTGCGGAAGTCGTGTTATAACCCGAGTTTCATATCAAAACCTCACCCCAACCACCCCACCCACCTCTCAGTGTGTGTGTGTGTGTGTGTGTGTGTGTGTGTGAGAGAATATATGTATGTATAGTAGATTAAACATAACCATACCCAAACCTCCATAGCTGCAATTAGAACAGGGTCCACTTCACCTTAAAGTAATACATACATTGTGTAGTAACAATGCGTTTGTGTTATGAATATTCACTGACTCACATTTCTACTATCTCACGTCCTGCATAGCCAAACATTTCTCAACTTAATAACCATACTTCATAATCCGAACCTTATAACGGATATATTAAGTACTACGTAGGAGATAGTATGCCCTACGTAGGAGATAGTTAGTCCTACGTAGGTGATACTAAGTCCTATGTAGGAGATACTAAGTCCTACGTAGGAGATGGTATGTCCTACGTCGGAGATAATATGTCCTACGTAGGATTTCAGAACTCCTACGTAGGAGATAGTGACACACAAAAGGAAATTACACCGTGGCCCTACTACGCTTCCGTAGTGATCAGAGGCTATTTGTGTGATGTACTTATCGAGACCCGTAAGCAATCTAACACTGTAAGTCGGCCATGTGTATGAATATACTTTATGACTAAAAAAGTCAGTATGGAGTCAGACAACCCTACTGGACTTACAATGAATACACTATTCCACAACAACGTAAAGGGATTTTAGTCACTGTTAAAGGAGACACTTGTGATTCCTTGGCGACGGCCGAAAGTGTCAAACTCATGTACACCCACGAGGCAAGGACGAACGAACATGCGAGGTAAACTGGGTCGCATTGCGGGGTAAACTGGGTCGCATTGCGGGGTAAACTGGGTCGCATTGTGCAGACGGTATCATATAACGTGTTATCGTCAATTGTGTGCACTGAAACCATCTGAAGCGTTGAGGCGAAAGTTTAACTACTGACACCTATACGGGACAAAAGATACATGCGTATTTGTGTGCAAGAGCGTGTGAAGCAATGACACGTGTTATCTGTTATTTTTCGTGAATGAGATCCTCTAGTCAGAAAAGAAATATCAGGGTTTTATGTTAAAATGGGTAATCACTGACGTTATTCCAATGCCTGTCGTCAGTCATAAATTCATGGACTGAAGTGTACATAGATGTATGTGAGAGACTGTAATCCGTATGAAGACGTCAACATACTGCTAAGGTGTAGGAATCATTCATTGTAATCTTCTTACATTTTATGGCTGCTTGAACTGGGAGTTTCTGACGGGGAACTGAGGTCCCTGAGTTCCACCATCATATCAGTAGCATCATCAGTTGTACCAAGTGAAATACATGAGAAACATTTGGGCTAGGACATTGCATCTATGTTGTAAAATGATCTTTGTTGTGTCTTTAGTTATAAGCAACTGCGCATCTGCACTTGTAATAATTCCAAATAACAAGAAGACAACAACAATATAAGGGAATAAATAATAATGCAATTAGAAAATGTGTGTGTAAATACGCTTTTGTGTGGAGTCACCCATCCACTCATCACTCACTCACTCACTCACTCACACTCACTATACAATTATAACTTGCTTTTAGTCACGATATGGCTGAAAATATTGTCCATGTGACTTTAAATCTTAATTTACTCACTCACTCATACTAAACATGGCTGAGGTATATTTAACTCGGTTATTTTTAGAAACTACTGAACTACTTGGAAGTTTATAGACCTGCTCGTTACTTCCGTGTTGAGCTGCCTGGGTACACACAATGACTGGTTAATAACTCAGGTCTCAGCAGGTATGTACAATGTATATACTTCTATCACAAAACATATAATGTGTCTATGTTTACTACTTTCACCATGTTGAACATGTCAACTGTGAACGTATATTTTACATGACATTGTATAGGAATAACCCACAATGTCTCGATATACTCGTATACTTTGCGTATACGTTCTGCAGTTACAGATATACATTCTTCTACGTTGACCCGTCTTCTACTGGCACATGTGTTGCTTATGGACGAATTATCTGTACGTGATTGGTCAGTTAAAACACCTATCATCACAGGTATTGTCACTGAACAGACACTGTTGGGACTGGAGTTGTTTTTAACCTAACGACCATGCAGAGTTATGTCCCTTGGCCCACACTACCACAGTTCCCAGCTTGTGTCCACTCTACGTAGGACATCAGAATAACACTGCTTAAGTAGCTGATGTTGATATATGTCCACATCTTGTCTCATTGGAAATGTTGTACATAGCAATAGGCGAGAAATTCCGTTTCATTTGGCGTCTTAAACGCCGAAGGATTCGGTGAAGATATTGAAATATGTCCTGTTGATGATGTTTTTGTGTCAGTGTTTAGTACACAACTGTTTATATTGTCAGGTTGATTGTCGTATTTACAGTCATTGGACTACCTCTGCTACCTTACACATCAATCCAATGGTCGTGGTTGTGTAGACCAGATACTACCGTTACTATTCTTGTTTTCTTGAACACCATGCTCGGTGGTAAATGTATAAAAACTAAGTGTTCCGTGACAGATCAAGCTGACTGATGTGTATAGTGTGAAGCAGTCACCCATCATCAATATACTATCATGTGGTTTAAAGGATAGGCTACACAACTTTCAATCCTTCTCCGTTAATACGCATATGTTCATCTGAATCATCCATACGATGTGATCACGTCTCTACTGTTATACATAATGTAACACACTGACAACTGTGATCACACACCCACTATCATCCTGGCGTAGTAAAGATTGAGAGATATGTGATCCTTTACATATAAGCATCTCTCCTTGTCACTTCAAACATTATCCATGATAATTGTTAAACCTGTATTCCAGAATTCACCGAAGTACCAGACGACAGGAATGATGAAGATAATTTGTGCTGCAGTATTATATCTGAGTGCAGGTACCTTTTTGTTTCTTTTGGATACTATTCTTGCTACCTTAAATACTTGCGATAAATACATGTCAAACAGAGTGTTTCTCTACTTTGAATGACGTACGGTCCTGCTTCAAGAAAGACCCTCTAAATAAGTAAATATTTTCTTTCTTCAGGTTTTGTATCAGGTGCACCCAGTGCCAGTCCAGTGTTGTCTGCAGTGTCTGACACAGCCAAGTTCAGCTGGGAGATTCCACAGGGGGAGGTCTGGGGATAGGGAGTTCTTTCTTTGCTGTCAGTCCTGCCGGTACTGCTGTGTTCACAGTGTTTGATGATGGGTCATTCGAGATACCCCCCATCTACAGAGATAGACTGTTGTACCAGGGGAACAGAGCAGACAGGAATGTCACCTTCACCCTCAGCAACATCCAGACATCAGATGCAGGGACATACACGTGTGGGAATGGAGGGACAACGAGTGTGATACAGAACTGTGGACAGAAGCTTGTTGTCCTGGGTGAGTTGTTATTATTATTCCTGTTATACACATTCAGATGAAAAATACATAAGTATTCCTCAGCCATAGTTTCTTCGATAGCAGGTAACTCTGGACTAATGCAGATGCAGGGACATACACCTGTGGCAACTGATACACAACACAGCAATTTGTTGTCCTTCATGAGGATCTATAACTAGGTCTTGTTTAGTAGCCGATGGACATAGTCTGTACCTGTCTTGCCCCTCATACATATCCAAATAGAAAATATAAGTATGTTAGTAAGACGTGTTGGGTGTCATCGTAACTTCTATCAAAGAAACTGAGGAAACACATATAACTGACTCCCGTTGCATCTAACTTAACTTTAAGCATTTATTCTTAATTACGCTGATCGATAATGCCAGGGTATATATCATATCCAGTCCGGACTGCGGTCGTGGTTCAAAGGAAATATATTAATATCTATGCGAACAAAGATAATTTGATACGTTTTTTGGCATGCGTGATCATATGACGGGTAAGAGTTTTAATCAAATTACACTGTGCTACTGACCAGAAATGCCTTTATCAAAATCTTTCTGAGATCTCAATTATTGAAACATCCATCTTATGTCTCGTCAACAGTCTTGTTCACCTTGTTCACATGCCACTAAAGGTGAAGTGTAATAACATATTTGCAAACCTATAACATACCACCGACAAACAATAAAGTAATACCATGTGTTAATAAAAGAAAGGAGTTGCGAGTGCATCACGGACGAGAGGCGTCCCTTGACGTTTCACAAGGTACCTGAGCAATTCCATTCAGAAAATGAACCTCCAGCAAGGATCTGTCTAATAAGTTCACGTCACCATCGTAGAGACACCCTGCAGGACTGTATATAAAAATAGAGTTAGAATATACATGTATCAGTAATAATGTCGAATATATATGCATATGCATCTATGTATAAAACGACTGATAATGTTGACTTGATAGCTGTCAATATACTCACAACAGCCATCATCGTCGACGTCACAGAACAAATTGTTTTGTCACGACTCTCATTGTGAAAAGCCTATCCGTATTACCACCACCATCTTGATGTTGGAGGAATATTTCTGCACGTTTCGCAAATAATACTCAGGAATTCGTCCTTTATATCCCTACTTCTTAGTTTTATAACAAGAGCCTCTTGTACACGCCCCAAATTTACATATGAAGTATTTGGAAAGGCAAACCCACAACACCAGGTCGTCCACCTGTGTCAACAACACCTGTCTACAACCAGCAAGTGACCTTGACCTGCAGCTCAACCTCTACCACTGTCCCAGCTGATCATGGTCTGACCTTGACCTACACCTGGCAGCGTGACAACACTGACATCACAGTTACCTCCCCTGGTTCCCCCTACACCTTCGCAGTGAGTTCCCGGGACAGTCACAGGTACAGATGTAGAGCGAGAGAAAGTCAGGGTCTGGAGTCAGAGTGGAGCCAGGTGTACAACATGGAGCCCCAGTGTGAGTACAACATGGACAATACTGATAACTTTAACACTCAGTCAAAAAGCAAAAGTGTAAAACTGCCCGCCTGTATGGGTATGCCAGACACTGACATAAGGAATGATACATGAAGTATTAAGATCACATCTTACAACGGACTTTGAAAGGACATGTAAACAATCACTCGGTCACATCACGTTTCAATCTGCTCTATCCAGACGATTCCATACACCATCAAACGATTGTAATTATGACATATATGTATGTCTTGTTTTAAATCGTCCCACATTACCCTTTATTCCAGACGGCCCCTACCAGATCTCCCTCACCCCCTCCACCTCCTCCTACACTGTGACAGAACACCAGGCTCTTCCATCAATCACATGCTCCGCCCTCTGTAGACCCGGATGTAGCTACAGGTGGTTACACAATGGAACAGCCTTCAGCAGTGGAGCCGTGCTCCAGGGACAAGCTGACAGATCCAAGACAGGCTTCTACAGATGTCAGCCTTCTAATACACACGGGAGTAGTGACAGTGTTACAGTCCGTGTTGATGTTCAATGTAAGTATATAGTCTACACTGGTGACAGTGTTACAGTCAGTGTTGATGTTGAGTGTAAGTATATAGTCTACACTGGTGACAGTGTTACAGTCAGTGTTGATGTTCAGTGTAAGTATATAGTCTACACTGGTGACAGTGTTATAGTCAGTGTTGATGTTCAGTGTAAGTGTATAGTCTACACTGGTGACAGTTTTGATGTTCAGTGTAAGTATATAGTCTACACTGGTGACGGTTTTACAGTCAGTGTTGATGTTCAGTGTAAGTATATAGTCTACACTGGTGACAGTTTTGATGTTCAGTGTAAGTATATAGTCTACACTTGTGGCAGTGTTACAGTAAGTGTTGATGTTCAGTGTAAGTATATAGTCTACACTGGTGACAGTGTTACAGTCAGTGTTGATGTTCAGTGTAAGTATATAGTCTACACTGGTGTCGGTTTTACAGTCAGTGTTGATGTTCAGTGTTAGCATATAGTCTACACTGGTGACAGTGTTGATGTTCAGTGTAAGTATAGAATCTACACTGGTGACGGTTTTACAGTCAGTGTTGATGTTCAGTGTAAGTATATAGTCTACACTGGTGACAGTTTTGATGTTCAGTGTAAGTATATAGTCTACACTTGTGGCAGTGTTACAGTAAGTGTTGATGTTCAGTGTAAGTATATAGTCTACACTGGTGACAGTGTTACAGTCAGTGTTGATGTTCAGTGTAAGTATATAGTCTACACTGGTGTCGGTTTTACAGTCAGTGTTGATGTTCAGTGTTAGCATATAGTCTACACTGGTGACAGTGTTGATGTTCAGTGTAAGTATAGAATCTACACTGGTGACAGTGTTATATTCAGTGTTGATGTTCAGTGTAAGTATATAGTCTACACTGGTGACAGTTTTGATGTTCAGTGTAAGTATATAGTCTACACTTGTGGCAGTGTTACAGTAAGTGTTGATGTTCAGTGTAAGTATATAGTCTACACTGGTGACAGTGTTACAGTCAGTGTTGATGTTCAGTGTAAGTATATAGTCTACACTGGTGTCGGTTTTACAGTCAGTGTTGATGTTCAGTGTTAGCATATAGTCTACACTGGTGACAGTGTTGATGTTCAGTGTAAGTATATAATCTACACTGGTGACAGTGTTATATTCAGTGTTGATGTTCAGTGTAAGTATATAGTCTACACTGGTGACAGTGTTACAGTCAGTGTTGATGTTCAGTGTAAGTGTATAGTGTATATAGTCCTTGTGTGGGGACATCTGTAGTGAGATCTGACTCTGTGGAGGTGACAGTGGCTCTACAGTGTAAGTATTATTGTTAGAATACTGGACACATCTGTGTACAGCTACCAACCCCCTCAGTCCTTGTGTGGGGACATCTGTAGTGAGATCTGACTCTGTGGAGGTGACAGTGGATGTACCATGTAAGTATCCTTGTTAAAGATTAGAACTTCGATCAAGTTTATTTCATTATAGAAGTGCATTATTATTGGGAGTTAAATATATTTTCGAACAGAATTATATAATTTTATAACAGATTTACACATTATTCCGACTAGTCGTTTGTTTCGGGGTACAGTTATATATAGTTCAGGTTGTAGAAGAGATTTCACACTTTAACATAATGCACTAAAAAAACAAACGCCTCAAAACTGTGATAACATGTTTGGAGATGTCTCTTACACGTCTTCAAAATGCCGACAGAAGCATGTTCTTATCACCAACATCTTGGTATACCCATAAAAATGCAAAAGCGATATCGAATAACATTTGTCTCACTTACGATGTCCAAGTGACCTTACCATTCTCATCTAATACTTTGTGCAGATCAGAAGTTATGAGGAATTATCGACTTCCATCCGCAAACCCTCAAGGGGGGTTGAAGTACTGTAAAATTATTGTCCTCCTGAGAGGGTACGTAAGTCCCAAAACTCTCAAAGTAAATTGCAAACTTACCAGGATTTTGAGCGCAGCATTTTTGTGATTCTAATTATGGCTAAATTGTGACTACAATCGTTGGCTCCTGAAGGGATGATGTAAATCCAACTAGGGTTCATGTATCCCATGGTCCCTTGTATGGTGATCAGCCTTCAGTTGTTTACGATCTGTAGCCCGTGTTTTAAACTGTATTGTCTTCTTTAATTGGAATGTTTAAGTTTTTCTCACCAGTTTTATATTTATATATGTGATTCCCTCGTATTTTACTGTCCATCGTCGACAGGTTTTACTCCTCAAAATGTTTTCACTTGTTATTGTATAAATTGTTTTCGTCACGATATGGCTGAGATTTTGCCGATGTGACGTTAAATACTAACTCACTTACTCCATCCGCAAAAGTTTAGTCCAATAGAAAAAAGATATAAAGATGTATTAATGAACAAATAAATGAAAAAGTAAAAAGTAAAAATCTTTGCAAGAGGTTTACATGCTTTACATCAAGTGTATAATAAGTTACCGTCTATCATCACGTGATCCAGTGTCCATGAATCATGCTGTGCTACTTTTCTTCCATTTCTAAATACAATATTATTTGTTTATCAAGGTTTACACACAACCCCCATTTCGTCCAACATGTACTAGTATTTGAAACATCTAGCTGTCCTTGCTAGGTCAACCTTGACGTAAAGCTTATCGGCAAATAAGAGTGAGATCAGATCTTCAGTAATTTGGGTAACAAATACACCATGATAACAAGCACTATACATTTCTAGGGCAAACACATTAATACAGGACATAAAGAGGGCATGGATCAAGACGCACGTTGCCTTACCCCACCAGAGGTACTAAAACCCATATCTAGAGCAACCAACCTTTACACCTGCTTTCACTGATCCAAACATACTTTTCAACAGTCTGTACATTTTACCATAACATCCTTTTCCTAAAAGTAAAGATAGCAGTTTTTTCCTGTCAACATAATCAAAAACCTTTCTGAAATCATTGAATGCACAATAGAATTTGCCTTCTGGCTTACAGAGATATTTTGAACATAATGCCTGTAACATATATATATGGTCAGTGGTAGAGTGTGGGTACATCTGTAGTGAGACCTAAGATCTTACTCCGTGAAGATGTCATTCACGATAGGGTATTTTAATTGATGATATTTAAAAAGGATACAATGGAAGGACACTCTTTAAAAAAGTATTTCAACTATTTATTGAAAAATCAGAAAACTTTCTCTTGCCCCAAAAAGAAAATGTTTTCACATAACAATATATTTATTTCCAGATGTTGATCTTGATAACATTGACGCAATTTCAGATCCTGCCAGTATAAGTATATTCACGGCCAACTCGCTCAGTGGCTCAGTGACAGTTAACGAGTCTGACCCAGCTACCTTGAGCTGCCAGGTTGACAGTAATCCAAGGTCAGTCATCAGGTTACTGAATGGAACAGAGGAGTTGACAAGGGCAGATAACTCTCTGACAGCAACATACAGACTGGAGTCAGCAGACTGTAGACAAAGAGGGAACTACTCCTGTACTGCCACCAACAACATCGGGGCACCTGTCACCCAGACGGTGGAGCTGCTGGTCAAATGTAAGTATTTCATTTTCAGCAACTGTAGGTGATATGTGTCAAGGCAAAATGTGATTGTCAAGATAACATAATCATAGAGCAATTAAAAGTTTGTATCTATTTAGGTATTATGTGGGGCGATGGGAACAACATCAACAATTTACGACAAGACTGGAGTCGGAAAAACAACATACTTTTGATGCGTTTAAAGCAAGTATATGCTGCTCATATAAGTTCAAATTAGCTTCGAATCTTTACTATTTGTGGTAAACGAGCGTGAGGGAGGGAGCGTCGGCCAAATGTTTGGCCAGCCTAAAGTGAAACATGGCTTGAACATTTAACGCACTTCTCAAAGGCATGAGGTTCAAACCTAGAATCATAATAGTGATGATCCCAGAATTCCAGAACGTTCCTAGAATTGGAGCGCCAAAACTTCCAGAGTAATGCGAATGCTGTTTGAATAGTCTATCAATTCCAATTATTCAAAGTGAGTGAGTGAGTGAGTTAATATTTAACGTCATATCGGCAATATCTCAGCCATATCGTGACGAAAGCAATTTATAAAATAAATAATGAATACGTTTTAGAGAGTATATCCTGTCGCCGATGGATTTAAAAAATACTAGAATATAACATATAGGAACATAAAACTAGCATGTGAAGCTAAAAGACTTTATTTAAAGAAGACAATACAATATAAAACACGGGCTATAGATCGCCAACAACTGAAGAGAGATCACCATCCTAGGAACCATGGGAACTTACATTATTTTGCTACCTGCATGGACCCCAGCTGGATCCAACTATTCAAAGAAATATGTTAAATGGAATCATATCCTAAACGATATCATATCAGACCATTTATACGTCTCTGTCTGAAATTGTCATTTGAGTCACTTTGTGCTCTATGATTCTAAGGTGACAATATCGGTTTTACCAGAAGTTGAGATATTTTATACGAATATGATAATATATAATACAGAAACTAAACGACATTTTCAACTGGAACTTAAACATGTGAAACAAACTTAATGTAGGCCACCATGACTTAATATTATGCTTTTAGATAACTCATTAATGAGTTTACCAGAAAAACCAGTCAGAACGTGGTTATTTTATATTTGTTTTAGAGAAAGACGACACAATTAGGGCTTATCCAGCTAAAGCTGTTGGGGTTGTGATAATATCTTATACTCTTTCGTCTGGTCAGGTTCTCCACGACTTGACGACTCAGTGTCCCAGCAACTCAAGTTCGCCACTACACTGGGTGGTGACGTGACTGTGTCTGTGTCAGTCCTGGCCTACCCTCTTCCTACATTCACCTGGAGTAAACCCAACAGCACCAGCCAGGACCTCACTGGTTCCTCCAGCCCTGTCTCAGACATCTCAGTCACTGCCAGACTACACCTTACTAACCTCCAGCAACAGGACTTCGGTGACTACAGTCTGACAGTGGACAATGGACTTGGGGGGTTAGTGACATACACACTCGACATTTTGTCTGAAGGTGAGAGTCTCTTGCTAACCTCCAACTGTAGGACTCACGGTAGACATCGGTGAAGGTGAAACAGTCAGAACAGGGTCTGAAGCTGAGTGTTGAATGGCCTCATCAGACTAATCCGGATTACTGTTCATGGATAACAGATAATCCAACTACTGACCCATAGTACATTCCTCAATGTCTTCATTATCATGACTCAGAAAGAGGAAATCAAATGGCACGGTATCCTGAATATCCGCCTTGGAGTTAAACATTCAAATACGGCAGGATAACACGGCGCCTCTTAGTCATATCTTGGTCTTGCCATGATTGCAAACGCTACAAGACAGTAAAGATTCCTAGCATTCTCCCAAAATGCTTACAACACAAAGATAAATTGTCACTTCCATTATGTGCATGTGCAAAATTTGAAAAACACACACGTGAAAATATGCAATTACAAATATTATTTAAACATATGAACCTCTTTGTTTTATGATTATATGGCACAGTCTGTTCATACTCATCTTTTGACTGGAAGACACTTTATCTAGTTGTAACCTGTCATGCGATCACAACATATCTGACTTCTGTATGTAACATAGTATATTTAGCTGGGAAAACTCATACACTTACATAGTGTATTCGATATCTATGCATTACCATTTTGTGTATCATATATGTGTTTAGCACTGTATACGTAATAGCGATGTAAACATGCACTACTAATGACGCAGAACACGGACGGGTTGTAAATGAAGGTCATTTCAGTTCAGATTAAATACTTTTCGAATATTCTAAACTCCCAGTACTCCCAACTTCTCATATTAGAAGGAATGACCCACACAACCCTCTGAAAACTAACATAATAATTTGATAATTATTTCAGATATTCCCGCAGGAATGATGCCTAATGTCATTCAGACATTAACCCATCAAACTCATATCAATATTAACTGGTTTCCATTCCATTTATTTAGGTTCATTTTCATTCATCATTGACAACTCGCTATTTTTTCACCGTCAAATATGTAATACATCACGGCATCGATTGACTTTCATATTTGATATTTCTACTAGAAGCCATGTGTGATGCGTGAAACCATTCAATGTATGCATATCGTCACATAGTTCGCCCATCCCTCCATTTGATCTCTGGCAGATAAGATTGCAACATTTCAAATAACTTAGTACATAAGATTCATTCATTGTTGAGAAGGTCACAACAAATGAATAGATAAGTTTGACTTAACTTAACGTTTAATGTTAATGTTGTCATGTTTATTTACAATAAATTGTCAGTTGACATGTTTTCAATGAAACCTTATTGTTCTTCGTTACCGGTTCATTAATTACTTTAACACAACTGCATGCATACAAAAGTGTAGTGTCAGTACATTTTCTGTTTCCAGGACCACCAAGCACCCCAACAAACATCAGTGTCTCGCCGGAAGGTCCCTTCACTCTACATGTTTCCTGGAAGGAGGAGTTCAATGGCGGAGCTACTCAGACATTTACTGTAGAGTACAGCACAGATGAGGAGACCTGGAAGACAGCAGGGAGTCATACGGAGACAGGAAGTGGGAATTACTTAACATCAGCCATCAATGATCTCAACTCTGACACCCTGTACTATGTGAGGGTTGTCGCCAGGAACGAGTTTGGAAGCAGCAGCTACACTGAACATGTGACTGGACTCACGGAGAAGACAGTTATACGTACGTCTCATTTTACATTCAAGCAATAATCTCGGTACACGTAGGTAAAGCTGTTTGTTGCCTCTGTTTCATACATGGTACTTACTCAAGAGGTAATCAATTTTCTTAATGTACTGAAAGAGACTTTATTTGTTAATATTCACTATCGGTGTAATGTTAAAAGCTACACCTATTTGCATGCAGTCCATACTTGGTTGTCTTAGCGACCAGTTTATGTGGCTTGAACGATTCAGTTATGAAGCCCTAATGCTGTCAAAAACTTTGCTTCTTACTGTCCCTTTCAGCCCGTGTAGCGATTTACGTATTGTTTCGGACACCACGACGTTTCTATATAACGTATTTTAATTTTGATATTTCAACATGAAACCTCAAGAACACATGTTGTGTGAGGAGACTAAATTTAAAAGTTTCAATATATCGACATGCTGCAAAGGTATAACTGGAATATTGCAGAGTGTAAATAAAACGAATGATTCACTCACTTGCCTTAACTTATATTTCTTTCATCTAATGATGTGATGATTATACGGATAAATATGAAAGTATGAAAGGCAATGTAAGTACTACTTCAAGTCACTTGAAAGAGACATGGTGTCTCCATTTTCTGTATACTTGTTATTGTTTACAAAATAGCCAGACATACAGACAGTGTAAATCAGTCTTAAACAAGGGTGACGCTGAAACATTTCCAATTTTGTGAAACCTTTGAGAGAACATTTAGCGAGAACACCGGTGATACCAGTTTCGATATCCTTGGTAGCTCTGTGTGCAATAATAGTTCCAAAGAAACCGCTTTGATTTCGCAGCTATTTTTTCAGTCCTCTTGAATTCACAACCGATGTCAGCAATTGACTCTCCCCCGTTATTTGTTTTCTATTATTCGTTATTATCCCGCATAACAATCTCCATCTCAGTTTGTCATTTGGAAGCTACTGCTAATGTGTGACTGCTAAATCCAGACCAACCGGTTAACAATTGTCAAAGATACAAGACCACCCTCTGTAATCTGTCTCTGAATGTTTCCAGTAACAGTAATCGACATTTATGATAGATGTATACAACACATTATAACAAGACTGAAAGCAACCATATTCGACACATTCATTCTATAAGTGGCGGGTGCTACGTGGAGAGCAGAACATACCTACTTTGTCACGAACACCTGGTGTTATCACCGATATTCCCTGCTCCTTCCTTTCCTTTTTGACTACTATTTTTAACGTCCCATGGAATCTGTTTTGGATAAATGGATCTGTTTATCACATGTCCGTATTATGTAGCAATGTAGTATGGCATTGTTTATACGTGGGGTATTTCTGTTTAAGCTCCTGCATCCTCTTTACCATCTGGATTAATAGCAGGAATGACAGTCAGTGTGGTATTGGTCGTCGTCATCGTGGTCGTTGTTGTCGTCATGACCAGGAAAGGATACAGATGCATATTCATATTGCAGAAGACAGGTAGGTCTGCTGTGTTCAGAAAACAATGGCAACACAGGTTTGCATGACACCTCCAAACATATATTATTAAATGTATGAATGAAGACATGTTGCCTAATCACAAATTTGACAACAATAACGTACTAAGGTATAGTATAATGCAGCAACTCACTGGGACACATGTTTACTTTCTCCTTGATACAGAAAATACCTAAATTCCACTGACAAGTTTGTCATGACAACATCTTTGTTATCTCCACAGGCTCAACAGACGCACAGAATGCGTGAGTACAGTTGTACTTGTGAATGTCAACATCTGTAATAGCCTTCCCAATCAATTAGATCTCTTCCTCTTTACACATATCCCCAAACACCTGGGTTCGATTCCAAACATGGTTATGTACGTGTATGCATGTGTAAATTCCATGCCCCTCTAACAGTGTTGTCGTTTCTACTGCAGGTCACAGATCCCCGAAAATAGAGGAGACCAAGTGCATTTCCAAGGTATGACAATATTCAAAGTACGTGCATGTATGATAAAAGAAAAAGGGTTCGATTATTTGCATCGCTGTTGTCAAATAATGCCAAGTTCATCTCCACACGTGTCTGTTTTTCTTCAATATAGATGTTAACCCGTACTCTGGCCTGCAAGATAGAGCGGATGACAAGCAGACGTACACAGAACTGAAGAATTATGAAAATACAGGATTCCGACCTTCTACAGGTATCCAACCTAACTTGTATACATCCCTGGATCCCTAAACTGCATGTGGACTGTTTTGATTTTGACTATACCACCAGATTCTAAAGTGCCAATCAAGCAGTTCATCCATAAAGTAGCATTCCTTTCTTGTCATACCATCGAAGTCTTTAAATTTGCACTGATGGATTCTCAGCAGTCAGGTAGTTACTATAAGCAAGTGGTAATTATTTTCAGACACTGTCAACACCTATGAAGATATCAACCAGACATCAAGACATGGTTATGAACACGACAAGCCTGCCCTGTATGTGAATGCTGATATCAAAGGCAAAGGTATGACTGATGTGGAAACAATCGTTAACGAGAGCAACATAATACAATGCATAGCATGAACATCTCCAAGTAGAACTCCAGGAAACAATAGGCCCCCTCCATCCCCAGCTTCACGTTTGATGAAGTGGTTACAATACATTGTTAGCCATCACAACTTGACAAAGACCTGTCTGTCACTCGATTGTCTGACTCATAACTTAAACATTCCTCTACATAATTATTTGTGCACTGGATATTACCAAACTGGGTCAAGTGCTGTGTATGAATATTGTAATGTTTCTATATAATTATTTGTGCACTGGATATTACCATACTGGAGCAAGAGCTGTGAATGACTATTGTAATGCTTCTGTTTCAGATTCGCCCTATGTGAACACCTGAAACAAATGACTGAAACATCAATATCTCTGACATTATAATCGATGACTCATTCCTCCGTTAATCATACCGTCACTAGAATATTGACAAGGATGGTTGCCCACATACGTTTAGTGGCTTAGGATTACGTGTATATTTTGGTCTCTGTCTCTGTTGTGTTGGTGAAGGTTACATAATAACTCATTTGTGTCTAAGCCACTGGAACCTTTACCGACAAGCTGGAACGTGCTGGTGTGCTGAAACCGAAGCTGCCCAGAAACGTTGTGTGTAGACATCAGTTGAAACGCCAATAAACAGCTAAATGTTTTATATTAAGAAACGCAAAATGACATTTGGAATGTTCACATTCACCAATAAATTCAACATTACACATTCCAGGGCCATACATGATTACATGTACAGACGTGGTTTTGTATGAAAATCAGGTTTTTTTAAAATTAGCACCTATCATCATAAAATCAACATGGATTCCGATCACTGTGTCATTTTTAATGAGTCCAGGGGTCATATGAGTCAGAAAAACTCATGTTGTTCCATCATGGTCACCACGAGAAGTTTTATGTCGTGTTGGAAACTTATCACCGCAAAAATACAGGGGATGCTTAATAAGTTATTTGTGTATAGTTACTCTATGTCAGGTCCATCTGACTGATCCAACTTTAAACGAGTGCCTAGCACTATAACCTAACCACCCTTAAATGAACGCCATATTCATTCTCAACGTCCCTCGTTTACTTTTATGTATGAACAACAGGTATGACCAACGTCATTGACTATATTTATGGCCATCACGAGAACGAAAATGTCAATATGTGCATTGTCAATATATTCAAAGTTAGACTGTATTTATATATTAGTGAATATAATGTAAATATGAGCTACGTTCGTGCCAGAGGTCTAAACATTGACTTAAGTTAGATGCTTAAAAAATGTTGACATGATTTGTTTGATGACCTCAATGTGCGCCTACATTTGTATATTACAGCTAGTAGGCCCTGTCACAAACTGTGTTACTGCACTTTCACGTTCTTTGTCGTACGAGTTCAGTATCAGCTTCAGGCACAACTGACACGTCAAGGTGAATCTTGGTCATTTATGAGTTACATATGTATTAGCTTGAGCACACCGGGAGCGTATCAATAACTGAGTTGAGAGTGGCCGTGCTTTAGACATATTAATAAACTGCAAAGATGTACCGTACCATTAAACACACGTAGGTGATGTTCAGTATTGTAAGATGGTTGGCTAAAAGATCAAAGACGCTGACAATACTTTATCAGGCGATAAAGTGCGCTTTTTTTGGATGACGTCACATTGTATTGACGTCACTACGCCATTCTCGTCTGCCCCCTCGTTACCAAACGTATTCTTGGTAACCTACGCCAGGATGCATGTCAGTTGCAACCCCTCGTAAGCCTTCTACACGGCTGACATCACTGGTGGAAACATTACGTTTCTGATTTTCGACAGATAAAATGTTTCATTTCGACTCATAATTTAACAGCGACACGACAACGTTCGCAATGTTTACCGTGGAATGTGGATAGTCAGCTTCATCTGGATGTACTGATCTAAACTCACGTTGGCCGTAGAAATGCGACGTTCATATTGTCCCATATTGTCCAACATTGGCCCATATGGGTTACGTTAATCAGAGATGTAATAATAAAGACAAGATATTCAACCCGCAATTAAAACGTCATCATATTGCTTATCATGTGTTCTTTTTTTTGGTAAAGTAGAGGACAGACTCGTTAATAGTACAGCGCACCGTAGTTTATTTATTTATTTATTTGGCTATTTATTTATTTATTATTTTGTCTTTATTTTCTGCCTTCGATTATTCGTTGGAAAGTATCAAATTTGGCATCTTAGAAAATAAATACGTTTTTCTCTACCACCATGTATAGTATCATAAAGCACACTTTTGCCCTGAACTATTATAACGTTACAGCATTCGGACGCAAGCGTCCCCGTATTTTAACTGTAATAGTACGTGTGCAAAGGTGTGCTTTATGACACTGTACACGGTGGTACAGCGAACCGTAATTCCTAAATAAGGGTTTCACAACTATTGCCATTGTATGTTCTTAATGGGATGAATAGTTTAGTAATGTGCCCTATTGTGAACGTCATTTATCATGTGAAATCAAACTCATTAATGTCGCATCAATACACCTCAAATCTGAAGACAATCCTAGCCAAACGTCCACAGTCAACGTGGTTCATTCGTTTCCATTCTACGTGTGCGGCAGAGCCCAGTTTGTTGTGTGGTCGGTGGTTGTTGACGATGGAGTACGCTCCGTTGCGGTGGCTGAGCGGGTTAGGCGGCTGACTTTGGGAGGGTGTGCATTCGAATCCCGGATGGGACCCAACCCATAAAGGCACTAGAATGTGTACTTCACTAAGAAAGTGTAATCTCGAATATGAGGTATGCTACATTTGACCACTTTCTAAATGGCATTGTGTAATCGTTGTCTCATTATCTTGGAAAGTAATAGCAGTAGAAATATAATGGGCGATGACGTCTTCCTTGATAGTTACTGTTAATTGTAGGGTTGTGAGGATCTATGTCCAGAGACCCAGTTGTTACTGAAATAGATGAATATTCCACTCTTAGTATTACCCTGCGGCCTAGCTTATCTCTGGCCTGGTTTTAGGCAGTCAATTAAAAAGTTCAATATAATTTTATGGATTAAACTTCTCTTTTAATTTCTCTCACGACGTTTCGAGACTATTCCAGACTTCATCAGGTGAACTGGCAGTTAGGACTATAATGTACAACTTCTAAATGCCACTGAAAGACAATTAAAAAGTTCTTCATATATCTGCTATAAACGACCTCTTCGTATAATTATCATGGAGTATTTACTTAGAGTACATTTTCCAGAACACAATTTGTATGCAAGTATGCATATGTTACCCATGGCTTAAAACATGTAATGGCACATATTTCATTACACAGTATTCACATAATGTACTAACGACGAAAAAAAAGAACTGTGCATAGATACAATTGCATAAAATAAAACTTATTTGAAATGTTAACTCTATAAATGACCCTAAATAAACATGTAGCAAAGCTCTTTACAAGAAATTTGATGTCACGCATCGCGCGTGGCACATGCATATTGTACACAATGAACTTACACATTTTTGCGTGCGTTTTGACAACTGAAGTTGACACATCTGATATTGAAAAGTGAAGAACAGTTAATTATTTTCCAACCTTCGAATGTTGCGGAAAACTCGTTGATTTCAACCTAAACTACGCCAACGTCATGCCACGGCTTACAGAAAACCAGCGTCCTGCGTCGTGGGTATGCTGGAGATTGAAATCATCCAAAATGAAGTGATCAGACATTTTATTGCCCATCGGAACACGATCTCACGATATGGAGACGATTTTAACATAATGAAAACACGAGAGATTTGCCTAGGACCGCCCGTCTACGCGTGACCTCACGTCAACGAGACAACAACTTCTGGCTGAAACAAGCCTGTACAGACTCGACTGAGGGAGCACAACATCGGGCCCGAAAGGCCTGCAGTACGTCCAGTTTTGCTCTAACGTCACCGACTTGGGTGACTTGCCTGGTACATACAGCGTCCACGGTACAGGAGACAATATTGGGATGGCAACTAAGATGGCAGTGCAAGGATGTATAGACGGTGAGGTGAACGGTATGCTGACGCGTGCATTGTTCAACGTCGACAGTTTGTTGGTGTTAGCGTTATGGTATACGAGCCATCAGATCTCATGGTCGGACACAATGAATCTGTACGGACAATGGAATTTAGTGTTGTAATAAAGGCACCTAAATTATATACATTCGTTGACATGATAAGAAGCGGATTTGGAGGTAATTTTGTGTTCTGCTCTTTTTAAATGATCGAAGGGAAAATATTATATTTTCTTAAAGTGACGAACTGTTCTCTTAAAGTGACGAACTGTCTTTCATGTCAAAATATCACAGAGAAACAAACCTATAAATATACAACGGCAACGCCTGACCAATTCCGAAAGAGATGGGTTTGATGCAGAAAAAAGTAAGTGTTGGTCACTGAAAATCTGTGCTAACACCAGATGTTTGCAAAACAATATATGTAGTTTAACTGTTCAAAATCAAAGACGTTGAAACATTAAAATATAACAGTACAGCAGTTACAAGGAGATAAAACTCATCCGTTGATGTCCTTTTCGATTATTGTAAGTAAACTGATATACGTCTTTTCACACTCCAGTCGTCTTTAGTCAGTTCCAGTGGTGGAGCTGTAAGGTTGTTTATTCTCAAAATAAAAACAAATTTTTCATCGTTACTTTAGAAATAGTGCTATACATATATTGTTTGCTGAGATCATTTTCTTGTAAAACATCAAGAAAGAATGTGATTGCATTCCAGCCTCCGACAGCCATTCCAGTCGATGACTGAACCAGTTGTTAAGACTGAACCAGTTGTTAAGACTGAACCAGTTGTTAAGACTGAACCAGTTGTTAAGACAGTTCGCTGTGCAGGGCACCAGAAAACTGTCATCTGAAGTTCGGATCTCAGCACCTTACACATGAATCATTCACGGCTTTACTCCCATGTCAAACCAACGGGCTGTGAAATAACAGAAATATTGTTCAAAGGGACATTAAACGAAACTGGCCCATGCACTCATATCTGTGAATTTGCTCTGCTCTGGGTAGTGTCCCATAGAGTTCAACTTTACAGTATGTAGGCAATATTGCAGATATGCCGCCATGAAGAATAGTAATGCTTTATAAACTATATTTACCTATGTCTAACAGTTAGCTATAGTGGTGGCGGGGAAGCACAGCGGTTAAAACGTTCGCTAGTCACGCTGACAATATTGCTGGAATATTGTCAGCGTGCAAACCTAAACTCACTCACTCATTCAGTTAGATATCAGAACATACCAAACTAGATTAAACACCACTTAATTATGCTAATTAGTTACTTTTATATTTTTCCGGTGTCCACGTCATGCACACCCCCTGGGAAGTAACTGAAATATTGTTGCGTTTTAATAAAATAATGAAAACATAATCACCCACTATCAAACTTTCAGGAAAGTCGGAAATCTGTGATCGTGGGTTTCCAGTCCCTTCTCATCCTGATTGTTGCTTGTCTTGCTGGGGTCCTACCGTATATCCTAGATAAATCGCTCAGGAGTATATTTCTTTACCTTAGTGTTTAGGTACCAAGATAATAATGAGGGAGAACTCCGTGCATTAGAATCAACACGGCGTTCTATGTTCAATCGATCGTGTCGTTCATTTAGATAGTTGTGGTACATCACTATCGCCCCTCACCAATATGAGAGCTAAACTACTGTTCGGAGCAGTGTTCAACATTACTCGTTCACTCAAGATATACATTTAGAAGCTTAGACAGCTTGATGGATTAAGGACGGATGTCAAATAAGGTTTTGCCCTGTCTATA